GCCCACGATCACACCTAATGAACTGTTTACACAACCACAGGGGAAATCACTCCAAGGGAACGTGATAATTTGCAGATAGAAGTTGTGAACTTAGTGCAGTCTATACATCTAGGACGTACCACCGGCACAAGTGCTCTCTGCAATGCGCCATTTTGTTCCGGTAGTTTTCAAGGAGAATGGGCGTTTATGTAATCGCACACACCCCCGACCGATCTCGTTCTACAGATAAGGGTGCTTAAACCAGGTGTCCATACTTCCGATTTGTTGGCCGTTTCTGTGAAATGTTCACTGGAATGAGAAATACACCAGAGGGCAGAGTTCTTGTATGGATTCCTCTTCTTGAGCTGCAATGACTGGCTGTGGGCGAACATGTGTCCTGATAACTATTCAACTTCTCGTGAACTGGAAAATTGTTATATTAATCCACACGAACATTTTGTCACTATAGTAATCCACTTGTGGTGTTTTAAAATGTTCTGCCTGACAAGGGATTTGAAGTGTTTTGACAATGTTGCTCTGCCATAAGTGTAGCACTGCTTCTGAGTATAAACCTTTTTATAGAGAACTTATGTGAGAGTTTTATGTAGCCGTGTTGATAAACGTTAATGATTGTAGAGTTAAAGACATTTTCCCACGCATTTAAGTTTGTTGCGTTTATCGGCTAAACAGTACACAAAAGCTCCATTTTCGGCTAACCGAGTATGTCCTCTTCGTCTTCCGCCTCCTCCTAATACTCCTCCTACTCATCATCATCACATTTTTCTTCGTTTTCTTCATATTCTGCCCTTTTTCTCTAAAGGAAGCATGTGTCGCCAACTAACTGACATCAAGCTCTTTGCTTTGCTAGTTGTTGTTTGCTGTTTGCGTTCACCGGCTATAAACTCCAGTGGAAAGACCTGGTTGTTCGTCCATTTCTGGACTTTGGACCTGCGTGTGCATCTGTTTTACAGATCTGACATATTTGTATTCAGTCTGCTGGTTCCTTGCCTCTCAGGCAGATGCACTCCGACTTCAAAGAAAGCGCCCAGTTAGTCGACTCTTACAACATGCTTTTTGGGGAGGCAGTGGGTCTATTCTTATTTTCCCTATAATGGGGCCCCGGAACCCACACGGGGGACTTTGCTAGTATTTTCGTCAGTATAACTTCAGGGTTATGGTCAGTGAAGGTTCTATATTATGGTCAGGGTAAGTTCTAGGATATGGTCAGTATAAATCTTAGGTTATGGTCAGTGTGAACTTCTGGGATTTGATCAATGTAAGTCCTAGATTATGGTCAGTGTAAGTGTTAGAATATGGTCAGTATAAGTCTTAGGTTGTGGTCTGTGTAAGTTCTGGGATTTGGTCAGTGTAAGTTTTGCGATTTCGTCCATGTAAGTTATAGGTTATGGTCAGTGTAAGTTCTGTGATTTAGTCAATGTAAATTCTAGAATATGATAAGTGTAAGTTGTAGGTTATAGTCAGTATAAGTCTTAGGTTATGTTCAGTGCAAGTTATGGGTTGTGTTCCCTGTATGTAGTGACAAAAGTAAGTCCTCACTCTACACGATAGCTACCGCTGTCCTGCAACGCTGTTGCTCTGACTCAGTCTATGCTGACGTCAACCCTATAGCTCCTCGCTTAGGATGTGAAATAAGGGCACACAGAGGTATAGTCAAGATACAACGATGACGTTAATATTGTTTACTATAGTCTATCAGAACGAGTCATTCCGTCGTTTTCCTAAACTCTTCCTGGTCGTTTACAACTTGCTCTGGACCAACGGCCACGACAGAATTACAACTAGACAAGAAAAGCCTTTCAATATCAATAGTTCATTCACGCGTAGTTTCACTTCTAGATCACAGCATCACAACGTTCAGAGTCACTAGGTAGTACAATGCAGAATCAATTCTCTTCAGAATTTCCTGGCGTTTCAAGTCCTCGTTCCCTCAGCTCACAGTCGGCGTTCACTTAGGTCACTTCATATGAAACCACCTGCCTCTCACACGGTTAAACAACAAGCGATTCTAACTCATTTGTCCTTCAAAACCATTATTCCCTTCCCACGGGATTCGGTCCTGTATCTTTTCAGTGTCACACGTGAATATCACTTCCCTTGATTTACCTGTTTCTCACTTGCCTATAACAGTACTACATCCTCTCAGGAAACCCTTCGGACCTTCCTGGGAGTTTTCTTGATTACATATTCGTACTATCATCATGTGCCTTATTGTGTAATAATAACGCTTAGATCTCTCCGTTGATCTCCTGGTCATTTAGAAACTGGTTCAGTTCCGTTGATGCTCTTTTATGGGATGTCTTAAGCCACTCAAAGCCACAATGCTGGTTCCAGATGGGAGTAAGGGGTGGGGTGGGTGGAGGGGCATGACATGCCCACTGTTACATAACAAGCAATCCGTAAAAGGCGACTAATCAGGAATTTGTTGAAATCGCATGTTACAGTTAAAATTCAATAGGACCGGCTTTATTACCGTGAATTTTATGCCATGTGACTCTGTTTCTCTCCGCAGAGCGGCTGGATGCTTGCCGTGTTCCTCTCACAGAGCACGAACTCCTTAGCTCCTGCACCCCTGAACTGAATAAGGCGTTTGTGAAACAAACATACGACTTGGAGAGCGAGAAGCAAACGGCTATGCCACTTGGCCAGGGAGACACTTGATGAATTGCATGTGTTGGGCTGAAAGGTGTAGATATCACAGACTATATATGAACTACATCGCAACGCGCAAACCGCTTTTTAACAACGAGAGCAGAAGAAGAAGGAGGAGAAGAAGAAGAAGAAGAAGACGAAGAGGAAGAAGAAGAACGCAAAAACCAACGAACGAACTTTGTTTTTCAAAGGGTCGCAAATTGGGCGCGCATGCCCGTCTTACATTCGGACCTATCAAACACCCGTCTTTCACGAAGAAGAAGAAGAAGAAGAAGAAGAAGAAGAAGAAGAAGAAGAAGAAGAAGAAGAAGAAGAAGAAGAAGAAGAAGAAGAAGAAGAAGAAGAAGAAGAAGAAGAAGAAGAAGAAGAAGAAGAGGAAGAAAAAGAAGAAAAAGGAAGAAGAAGAAGAAGAAGAAGAAGAAGAAGAAGAAGAAGAAGAAGAAGAAGAAGAAGAAGAAGAAGAAGAAGAAGAAGAAGAAGAAGAAGAAGAAGAAGAAGAAGAAGACTAACTAAACTAAGTTACCAGCTTTCTTACAGTCCATAAACATAACATTACCCGAGTTATGTAATCAGTTGGGCTCGGCTGCATTTACCGGTCCGCTAATCAACGCAAGGCTTTGTACTCTTTTAAGGGGTATTCGACAGTTCTAAATCACTCCGGTGAGAAACTGGAGCCCGCCCCCTGCCTTTAGCAAACGACAACAATTTGTTCGTACCCAATCCTATCCTTGTTTCTCATCTTCAACGTCTCCACCATATACTGTTGTAAACTTTCAGTGTCGTCTTCATCATGGAGGACCTTCACAGCTCATGGGCGCGCGTCTGGCGTCGTCGTGCCCCGCAAGTAGGTCATTTTCCGGTGTCGGGTGTTCACTATTGCCTGGGCTAAATTTCCCGTCGCGTCTGCTGTCTGAGAGAGAGGGTCGTTTGTTTTCACCTCTGCTTGAGTTTAGTCTGGGAGTCGCCAGACACGAAAGATCTTTCCAGCGACAACTTCCAGTGGTTTCTACTGCAGTCGCACATTGCTAAGATTCCTCATTTATAACTTCAGCTGAGAATATAGCCCTGGATTTGAATACCTATTTGAATAACGCCCCAGCCAAACAGCTCTGATGCAAATGCAAGCATCGAGGGAAGTTAAGGCTGAGAGAGCGATTGCATCCCAGACTTAGGCACAAAAAGTGGAAATTGACGATGATGATAATGATGATGAACAAACAAATTATGGACCGTCTCAACAATGAGCAGACATTACCATTGATTACATTGTGTTTTTCTCTTTGGCTGTAGACTTTGAAAACCTCTTCTGTAATCTTTCCGTGTTATCGTGGGCAACTCATTCCTTGGTTCATTCGAACTTTTCCAACAGCGTGAGCTTATACAAATGTCATATCTTTGGATGTAGAAGTAATATAAAGCTAACGAAGTTTCATCAGCACCATTATCGTAATAATCAACATTGTCATCGTGTACATAGCCGACATCGCTAGCGATGACATAAGTAAAGGACCATATTTCACGTAATAGGCATATAGGGCTAGATCTATATTTTATAGAACAGTCGACTTTCCATGAGGTGTAGCCGTCTTTACTTTCAAGGATTTTACCTGATACCTATTTAAGGGTCGTTGCTGGAGCCAAGGTGGTGACTGAAAAAAAAAAGTCCAGCCCCGTTCGCATTTGAACCCACCAACTTCAGATCCGCAGGCTAGCTTTCAGTCGCCACACCACCCCGGCTCCCTTCCAGCCGCCACACCACCACGGCTCCCTTCCAGCCGCCACACCACCCCGGCTCCCTTTCAGCCACCACACCACCACGGCTCTCTTCCAGACGCCACACCACCACGGCTCTCTTCCAGCCGCCACACCACCCCGGCTCCCTTCCAGCCGCCACACCATCACGGCTCCCTTCGAGACGCCACACCACCACGGCTCCCTTCCAGCCGCCATACCACCACGTCTCCCTTCCAGCCGCCATACCACCACGTCTCCCTTCCAGCCGCCACACTACCACGGCTCCCTTCCAGCCGCCACACCACCACGGCTCCCTTCCAGCCGCCACACCACCACGGCTCCCTTCCAGCCGCCACACCACCACGGCTCCCTTCCAGCCGCCACACCACCACGGCTCCCTTCCAGGAAATTCGTCAGATTTGTTTAAAAAACTACAGATGATGATCAGAATATTTTGCTTCCCTTACAGCTATGCCGGGATGGATGTCAACGGGGGACCAATCCGGAAAGCGGCCACTAGAGAGACCACAGGTCCACTGAAGATATGGTTGAGTGAACACAAGAAGAACCCGTACCCAACCAAGGCTGAGAAGATCATGTTGGCCATCATTACCAGAATGACCTTAACTCAGGTAACATTTTTGAAATGGAATTTAAGAGTTAAAACAAAAAGGTTAGAGTAGAGAGGATCGACTTCATTGCACCAGATTTTATTCCCATAAGGCTCGGTCTCTCTAGGCAGAACTCTGGCCCCTTGTCGAAATCGCCACGTTGAGCACGAACTCCGTAGCTCAGGTGACGACCCCTAGAAATTTCCGTAAACATTGTGAACTCGGGAACTAAAAGGCGCAGCTGTGAAACAAACCCACGACCTTCAGAGCCAGAGGCAAACGGCTTGACCACTTCGCCATAGATACTCCCTATTTTTAATTTAGGATTACATTGTGTGATTAATTAATATTGCTTTCCTTCGGAAATAAAAAAGAATCTTTTGAGTTCTTCTTGTTCTTCTTCACGTTCACCAGCTGTACACTCTGGCGGAAAGTTCTGGTTGTTCGTCCACTACTGAACTGCAGTCCTGCTTCAGAACCCGAGTATTGCGTGTGCATCAGTTTTACAGATCTCATTCTCTTGAATACAGACTGTTGGTTCCTTGCCTCACAGGCAGATGCACTCCGACTTCAAAGGAAGCTCCCCAATTAGTCGACTTATACAACATGCTTTTGGGTAGGCAGTGGGTCTATTCTTGTTTTCCCCTACAATGGGGCCCCGGAACCCACACGGGGGTCTTTTGAGTTGAATTGCTATTCTCACAATACCAGAGACAAAGAAGAACAGAAATACTGTCATCCTAAAAGATCTGAACATCAAGGGGGTTGAGGGGGAAAGTGGCGTGGGGGGGGGGGGGGAGTGAAGAATACACCCACTGCCCCCTTGCAAGCATGTCGTACCAGGCGACTAGTTAGGGATATATCCTTTGAAGTCGGAGTGTATCAGCTAGAGAGGCGAGGAACCAGTAGATACACAATTCAAGTTCTAGAATTTAGAACAAAAACAAAGTTCAGAAGCGGCCGAACGACCAAAACATTTGCCCGGAGTTTACAGTTGGTGAACATTAAAGAGAAGATCTGTAATTATCTTACTAGCTCTCTTTTTCTCTCTATTACTTTCTCTCTCTCTCTCTCTCTCTTCTCTCTCTCTCTCTCTCTCTCCGTTTTTCTCTATTTGTCTTCGTCTTTCTAAACTATCTGACTTTTCCCTCGGTGTCTCTTTGTTGATTCTCTCTCCGTTTCTCCTGTCTATTCTCTCTTTCTCTCCCTCACACACACACACGCTCTGTCTCTGTCTCTGTCTCTCTCTCTCTCTCTCTCTCTCTATTATCTCAATGTCCGCTACCCACCCCCCCCCCCCCCGCCGCCCCCATTTCCCCCCACATATTTTAATACAGTCCAAAAGTTTCAACATGGCATTTAATTGTCTACAGGTTTCTACGTGGTTTGCCAATGCCAGAAGGAGATTGAAGAAAGACAACCGATTGTCGCCGGGCGGTGGCGAGGACGACCATGTGGGGATTGACAGTGACCGAGAGGGAGATATGGACAGTATTAATGTGGAAGACATGGATGCAAAGGTCACGTCAGCCCATAGAACAGAAGGTAGGTCTCTATGTTTCACCTGATCTAGCTATGTTTCACATAATCTAGGCTACGTTTTACCTGATCTATGCTACGTTTTAATTGACCTGGGCTATGTTTTACCTGATCTAGACTATGTTTTACGTGATCTAGGCTATGTTTTACGTGATCTAGGCTACGTTCTACCTGATCTAGACTATTCTACCTGATCTAGGCTATGTTTTACCTGATCTAGGCTACGTTTTACCTGATCTAAGCTACGTTTTACGTGATCTAGGCTATGTTTTACGTGATCTAGGCTATGTTTTACGTGATCTAGGCTACGTTCTACCTGATCTAGACTATTCTACCTGATCTAGGCTATGTTTCACATAATCTAGGCTATGTTTTACCTGATCTAGGCTGTGTGTTACCTGACCTAGGCTATGTTTTACCTGATCTAGGCTGTGTGTTACCTGACCTAGGCTATGTTTTACCTGATCTAGGCTGTGTGTTACCTGACCTAGGCTATGTTTTACCTGATCTAGGCTGTGTGTTACCTGACCTAGGCTATGTTTTACCTGATCAAGGCTATGCTTTACCTGATCTAGGCTGTGTGTTACCTGACCTAGGCTATGTGTTACCTGATCAAGGCTATGTTTTACCTGATCTAGGCTATGTTTTGCCCGTCTCTCTAGCGAAGTTGGCTAAACCGGATTTCGCGGTGAGCGGGTGACGAGCTCCTTGTGGTCCGGGTTCACTCCCGGGGGTGGGCAGAAAAGCCACATTTTCTCCCAGATTTACGGTATTTAAAATGGAATCAAGGCCGAAAGGTTGCGATATCCATAATACCGAGCCTAAGGGTTAACAACTCATGGCTTCTGGATACTAAAACAAACAAACAAACAACCTGATCAAGGCTATGTTTTACGTGATCTAGGCTATGTTTTACCTGATCTAGGCTATGTTTTACCTGATCTAGGCTATGTTTTACCTGATCAAGGCTGTGTTTTACCTGACCTAGGCTATGTTTTACCTGATCAAGGCTATGTTTTACCTGATCTAGGCTATGTTTTACCTGATCAAGGCTATGTTTTACCTGATCTAGGCTATGTTTTACCTGATCAAGGCTATGTTTTACGTGATCTAGGCTGTTTATTCTTTCCATTTTCAAGACGAGACGCCATAATGAGCGTTCAAGGCTGTGTCTATGCTTTTGTGAAAGGTTTAGCGTGCGCTATTATGTTTGTGTCTGTTTATTGCGATGATAAAGAGATCAGTAATGCTAGTTCTACTTGGGAAGAGGGGGTGGGGGAAAGGGGAGGGGGAGTAGGTAAAATCTCATTCATCTTTGTGTGGTCTGTTTTCCATCGATTTTCTCTTGCTCGTCTTCCTGGTTTGTTTTGCTCTGCTCTTTTCATCTCTTAATTTCAAGCCGAAGCATTCTGGTTTATGTGTTGTTTACCTGTTGTTTATCTGTAGTTTATGTGTTGTTTATCTGTTGTTTATTTGATGCTTTTTATGTTGTTTATTTTTTAATCTGTTGTTTATCTGTAGTTTACCTGTTGTTTATCTGTAGTTTATGTGTTGTTTATCTGTTGTTTATCTGTTGTTTAAAGAATACTTCATTTCAGTCATCGATTCGCTCATTTTCTTTTCTCTTTGTGTCAATATAACACATACAGTTTTAGGTAAAAAGAGGTGGATGGGGGGTGGCTACAGAACAAATAAACTTTTTTCCCTAGCATTGAGAAGCCACGCGGAGACCTGCTAACAACCAGACAAGATGTCACATGACAAACATATAACCCTTGTCCCGTTAGCCTCGTGAAGGCTTATCGATAGTTTTAGCTTCTTGAGTAAGTGTATAGTGATTTAGTTCTTCTGCTCATTTCTTGATGCTGTCATTCCATCTTCTTCTCCCCCCCCCCCCCTTCTTCTTCGACTAAGCCTCATTGTTCATTGAAGAGAAAGAGGGAAACACATGACTGGAAAGACATTCAGGAAACACAAGACAGACACATGTACACAGAGAAAGGGGCGGGGGGAGAGAGAGAGAGAGAGAGAGAGAGAGAGAGAGAGAGAGAGAGAGAGAGAGAGAGAGAGAGAGAACAGTAAAGCCAGAGAGTTAACATGTGATTAAGCTGCAGATTTCATAAATCGCTGACAGAAATCCGTCAGACGACATCACAGATACATATCGGATATTAAATCATTCATGGGATATGGTTCCTTCTCTACCCCGTCCTACTCAGTCACTCGACGAGGCATCGCCGAGTGCTCAAATTTCCCGGTGTGTCTCGTCTTCCTTGTCACCTCCATGAGCCAAATCCTGTCGCCGCCTGCGAGGATTAACGCCTCGACGTTGCCTATGTTAATATGGCAGCTGCAGTACGGTGCAGCAACAGTTTTGGTACCCGCTTATTTTTACCGACTTCTAACACTCCATAAATTGTCTTAGGGATATTTCTGGGTCTGGGACAGACATGTTTGTCGTTTAGGATAATATAACACCTGGTATAAAAACAAGAAACCCACGCGGGTAGCCAAAGAAGAATAATAAACCAACACAAAACGTGCCGTCAGCCGCTACACGCTGCGGGATTTACTGAAGAGGGGATCCGAGCACTTATGGACTGAATGGTTTGACGTGCAATGAAGATAATTTGTCGACTATCTTACTGACATTATACCTGGTATAACATATGCGTCCAAATTGGTTCCTGTGTTTAAACATTCACAATGGATTCGACCAGTGTTTTGTGTGTGTGTGTGTTTTTTTTTGGGGGGGGGGGGGGGGGGGGGGGGGTTGGACTATTTTCCTGGTTCATTAGGATTTCTCCTGTCTGCTTTTTTTAAGACAGTCAGACAAATAGAAGGTAGCAGATATAGATAATTATCAAGGTAGACAGACAGATAGGGACAGAGAGACAGACAGACAGACAGACATGTATATAGACAGACAAACAGATGGACAGACAGACATGAATATAAACAGACAAACAGATGGACAGATTGATTGAGAGGCTGAGAAGACGATGGTTGGATGGATAGATAAACAGACAAACAGGCAAACAAGTATATAGACAGATTGATGGAAGAACTGAGGAGAGGACAGATGGATGGATAGATAGACAGACTGAAAGACAGACAGACAGTCATTAGGTAAACCAGAAAGACAAATCCCAATACCCTATGCCCCCGCCCATTTTTCCCCTGTTCCACCAGACACCGACAAAAGGAAGTGTGAACACAGGACACATATTTCAGTAAGCCCCATCACAAACGACCCCAACCCAACCAGACCAGCAAGTTTGGGCCCTGTAATAAAGCAAATGCCGTCTGGAGGACACCTCCCGTCACTGGAGGGGGATTAGTAGGTAATCCAGCAGAGAAAGCTTCGCGGGTAGATGAGGTGTGTCGATAACAACGGTCGTCGCTGCTCGAGTGAGCCAAATACTGGGCTCCAAATCAAAGGGAAGGCTAAGCCACAACACTGTTACCTTAGATCTAGCCAAGTCCACCCACAAAAGCCAAGCGTTCAACAACTGAGCCACTGAACATATCAGTCTTGGTGACACTAGATCACAGATACAGGAGATGTACCGGAATCTCGTCCATTGTTATTCCAAGCCTGGTATTCACCGGAAGTCAAAAGCTGACAGCCATTCTGAAAGGAATTCTTTTGAGAAAAAAAAAGCAGGCTTCAACAGCACGAGCAGAACCATCATAAATTATATCAACGAGGGCTAGCTGGCTTCGTCTGACGATCAGATACTTTCAAAGCACTAATGGTGTTAAAAAAAATATCGGCGAGTTACACGATAATCTCCCCTAACAAATTAGGTCACGTTCAATTCATACATTTTTTAGACTTGTCTGCTGTCCGGGGGTTTACAGGTTGCGGCTATGTTGTTTCCCTTCTGGCTTGTCATGAATATACGTGTTTTTTTTTTCTCCAGAAAAAGAGAATGCGTGTGAGATATGCTGCAGCATTCTTTATGGGGTTGTGTGTTAGACACAGTTTCTGAATGTTTTTGTAGTGTTAAAGGCGCTGGCGTGCTTAAATAAACAATACGCGATATCAGCTGCATTGCCGAACACCCACGCCCCCCCCCCTCACCCCCCCCCCCAGCAGTGTGCGAAGGTTAGGTGAATGAAGGTCGACCACTCAGAAGTGAGCTAGTGTGTATATGGGAGATCGGCGGGGAGATTATCGTGGGACTGACCAAAAAATCATATGCGATCTGCCTCCACAAGAAAGGTTGCCTTAATTATGCCAGCTGTTGTATGGATTTTCTGCATGGTGTTGGTCTTACAGTCTGTTTGATAATCTTCTTTCTTTCTTTCTTTCTTTTTTTCTTTCTTTCTTTCTTTCTTTCTTTCTTTCTTTCTTTCTTTCTTTCTTTCTTTCTTTCTTTCTTTCTTTCTTTCTTTCTTTCTTTCTTTCTTTCTTTCTTTCTTTCTTTCTTTCTTTCTTTCTTTCTTTCTTTCTTTCTTTCTTTCTTTCTTTCTTTCTTTCTTGAATGTATACCCCTGACCGGAAACCTTCAATGAGTATGTGTTTTATTTCCTCACAGTGCCACTGTCCAGCGAGGGCGAGGGAGAACCAGACTCCTTCTCCGACATCTCCGACGACGACAACGAAGTTTTCAGACCGGAATCACGTGACACACCTAGAGTGCCATGCAAAAATCGAGTCCCTGTAATTACCTCCACATCGGAAGCAACAGATACGAACCTTTCAGTGGCTTCTTCAGACACTACCCCGACAGACATCTTGGCCACTAGGTCGGATACGGCTTCATCAAACATTTTCTTTAGTTCGCCAGTCGCCTCATTAAACAGATTCGCCACAACACCAGAAAAATCTCCAGTGGCGACTTTCGCCACATCATCAGCCAAAGTGAACAATATGCCAAATTGCCAAATCTCAGAAACCCAGAAGCCAAAACCAAAGATTTGGTCTATATCTCATATCTTAGACTCATAGTTAAATATAGATGATGTAAATATTCACATTTTTAACATGTATGTTTCATTCTTTTCTTTTTTGGACATACTTTTGTTTTTTCAAACTTCTTCTTCGAGTTCTCCGGCTGTAAGCTTTGGCTAGAAGTTCTGCTGATTCGTCCACTTCTGAACTTTGGTCTTGTTCCAGAACCTGCGTTAAGCGTGCAGATCCGTTTAACTGAGCTGAGTATCGCCCGGCTCTCCAACGTAGTTGGCTAAACCGGATTCCGCGGGGACCGGGTGACGAACTCCATCTGGTCCGGGTTCACTCCCGGGGATAGGCAGAAAAGCCAAATTTCTCCCAGATTTACGGTATTTACAATAGATTCAAGGCCGAAAGGTTGCGCTATCCATAATACCGAGCCTAAAGGTTAACAACTCATGGCTTCTGGATACTAAAACAAACAACGGATCTGCGTAATTTGAATTGAAGCATCCCTAATTAGTTGACGATTACATAATTTTTGTTGGTGGGGGTGGAAAAAGAGGGGGAAAAAAAAAAGGGGGGGGGGACGGCGTGAGGCTATGCGTGTTTATATCCCCTGCAGTGAGACACTAGGTTTGTTTGTTTTAGTATCCAGAAGCCATGAGTTGTTAACCCTTAGGCTCGGTATTATGGATATCGCAACCTTTCGGCCTTGATTCCATTGTAAATACCGTAAATCTGGAAGAAAATGTGGCTTTCCTGCCTACCCCCGGGATTGAACCCGGACCACAAGGAGTACGTCACCCGGTCTCCGTGAAATCCGGTTTAGCCAATTCCGCTAGAGAGCCGGGCGAGACACTAGGTAAGATGAAATGTCATGTGATGTGTCGATGAGAAATTATGTGGGGATAAGGCGAGAAAAGACGTTTGAAAAAAAGCGATTGACGAGTCTATAATCAGTGTGCTTTGGGAACAGTTAGGATCTACATCTTAAGACATTTGCCGTGGGAGACAGAGCACCTATCGGTACGTCAGGTGTGCTATGATGTCGATTCTTACTTCAGCAAACCTCCGTTACTGAGGCCCGTACTGCAACGGGGATGTTTAAAATAATATACAATGAACTTCTCTTCAAAGTCGACAAATACTAAAATGGTAGCTAGAAAGACGATTAGAAGTAAAGTGTATCGGTTTCATGCTGACAACGTCCTGTGTGAGTTCCGGGGCCCCATTGTCAAAGGGGCGAAGGGGTAGGGAGGATGAATAAGTCCAGTGCCAATACAAAAATAAATCTTGTTGTAAGAGTCGACTAATCTGGGATGTTTCCTTCAAACCTAACAGTAGAGGAACCAACAGGCTCTCTGCAAATAAGCCAGATTTGTAAAAGGGTCTGAATTTGAACTGAGGTTCTGGGACTGAAGTCATGAAATGGACGAACAACCAGAAATGTCCGCTGGGCTGTACAGCTGGTGAACGCAAGAAGAAGATGTTGACCGACCTTTATGAATATGTAGAATATGTATCTAAATCGTTCGCTGTGAGATGGTGAGAATTGTCCAAAATGTGACGAACAAAAGAGGTGTCCAAAATGTGAGATTGTGAGAGGTGTCCAAAATGTGAGAGGGTGAGAGGTGTCCAAAATGTGAGAGGATGTGAGAGGTGTCCAAAATGTGAGAGGGTGAGAGGTGTCCAAAATGTGAGAGGGTGAGAGGTGTCCAAAATGTGAGAGGATGAGAGGTGTTCAAAATGTGAGAGGGTGAGAGGTGTCCAAAATGTGAGAGGATGTGAGGTGTCCAAAATGTGAGAGGGTGAGAGGTGTCCAAAATGTGAGAGGATGTGAGGTGTCCAAAATGTGAGAGGATGAGAGGTGTCCAAAATGTGAGAGGGTGAGAGGTGTCCAAAATGTGAGAGTGTGAGAGGTGTCCAAAATGTGAGAGGGTGAGAGGTGTCAAAATTGTGAGAGGATGAGAGGTGTCCAAAATGTGAGAGGGTGAGAGGTGTCCAAAATGTGAGAGGGTGAGAGGTGTCCAAAATGTGAGAGGATGAGAGGTGTCCAAAATGTGAGAGGGTGAGAGGTGTCCAAAATGTGAGAGGATGAGAGGTGTCCAAAATGTGAGAGGGTGAGAGGTGTCAAAAATGTGAGAGGATAAGAGGTGTCCAAAATGTGAGAGAGTGAGAGGTGTCCAAAATGTAAGAGGGTGAGAGGTGTCCAAAATGTGAGAGGATGAGAGGTGTCCACAATGTGAGAGGGGAAGAAGTGTCCCAAATATGAGAGTGTAATAATAGTACAGAATGTAAGAGGATGAGAACTGTCCACAATGTGAGAGGCTGGGAAATGTCCAAAATATGAGAGGGTGGGAAATGTCCAAAATGTGAGATTGTTAGAATTGTCCAAAATGTGAGAGGATGAGACATGCCTAAAATATGAGAGTATAATTGACCAAAATATGAGAGGATGAGAACTGACCAAAATGTGAGAGGATGAGAACTGTCCACAATGTGAGAGGATGAGAACTGTCCAAAATGTGAGAGGATTATAATTTACCACAATGTGAGAGGATTCGAGCTGTCCGGAATGTGAGTATGTAAAGCCCTTCAGAAATTGAAAGTGTGAGAACCCTTCGATATATCCTAATTTATTCAAATGCTGCTTCGAAAATTGTTTTAGCAATTGAAAATAAATAATAGTATATATTTTAAACATGTTTTGATGTGCGTTTTATTTTTTGTTTTTGTTTTTGTTTTTCTGTTATGTAATCTGTGTAAAGACATTTTTCCGTGCCTTTAGGCGTATTGGGCATATAGGGCTAGACCTATATATTATAGACAAACTGGTACTTAGTGAATGATGGGTTCAACATCACACCGGCCGCCTTTACTTCCCAGGACTTTACAAGATACCCGTTTAAGGCGGGGTCGATTTACTTTTGAAGAATTTCAGGATCGGTCACGACCCTGACCTTCCGGTCTACATGCGAGCGTCTAACTTCTCCACCACAAGGTTAGTTGCGTATCTTTTACAGGAGGTTGCAGAACCAACCCCTGCAGCCCCTGGCTGTTGTGTGGTTTCTCTACACAAATTTACGTCCGGTAGTTTGCCATTGCTTCCTGGACGGTCGCCCCCCCCCCCCTGATACCACAGTCGAAACCAACGCAAGGCGCATGGCCCGCAGCTGGGATCGAAAACGGCACCCCGGCATTAAGACTTAGCCACAGAGCCGACACTACACCATAGCGATTATGTAATCTGTGCTTATTTCTGTTATGTTATATGTGTATCTTTACTTCTGTTACGTTATCTGTATACGTTTGCTTCTGTTATGTTTATCTATGTATGTTTTTTACTATCACGTTATTTGGGTTAGGTTTAGGTTTAGGTTTAGACCCCCGATCAACATCATGGCACAAGGGTAGTAACACATACGTGCTCTGTTCTACTTCTTACTCAAGCCTGAGTACGTAGAATTTCAGTGCAGTGCACGAACTCCGCAGTACCAACGAAGATCCTGAAATACTCTCTGTAATTTTTAATTCCAGATTTTGCCCGGGCAGCTCAGTTAGGCTACTCTATTTCGATTTCCAACTGCCATTTTTTTTTTTACGTGTGCAACAACACACACGCGTGTTCGAGCTTACAACCCAGAGACCAAGAAAAATTACTAGAAGTCCACGTTTAAAAAGTTGTAGCCTTCGGGGATTTAACCCGGACCTCTAGCACTCAAGGCAGATGACATGCTTCGAGTCCACGCACCCCCCCCCCCCCCAAATGGTTATGGTTTTTTTTACTGAAACTCTCTGTCCCTCTCACTGTCTTATTTAACACATCTTCCTCTCTAAATAAATGATCCTCAAAGCCCTCCCCTCTACCATTCTCCCCCTTCCCTCTGTAATCCGTTCCCTCTGTTTACGCAACAAACCATACTTGATCAAACTGCCACTTTAGTTCCTATAAAGAGATTCAATCCCGCGTCCTAAAGCCACGCCCATACGCCAAGATCTATGCCATACTGACACGAAACGTTCAATGGATCACGCAATGGCCGTAAAGCGACTTTTGATTGTACGCCGTAAATTGTGTCAAAATCGCCGTAAATCATCGGCCGCGTGGCTACATCATAATGCTCATGCGGCTGCGTGCACATTTACAGCTGTTGTAACAAACGCAACAACAGTTTGGAAATCGTGGGAGAGAACCCAGTTAGGATAATGATTGGATGTGGACTTCTTAAATTTTAACGTGTGTCCAGTAAACCAAACGTAAGCTTGCCACTCGGTCGTCCAGGTAAGCTCTAATTATGCTACCGCAACGACTTAGTATCTCACAGTACCTTTTGCAAAGTCGCCAATTCGTCTTGTCCCTGTCCGAACAACATCCGGTATTACGTACAGCAGGAGAAACCAACTCTGAGCCTCATGAACTCAGGTGGGCCCACTCTCTGAAAATGTCTAGGAGCTCGTGGGCCCAAATATTTGTCGACGAGAGATTACTTCTACTGATGATTGGTAGACTCCTGCTGTACATGCTCCCCTGTGGAGTTTCTTTTTATCTTAGGAGTTTTAGCTCCGAGGCCAAAGCTGTGATCTTATAAACCAGGGGTTCCAAATCTGACCCTCACTGTATGGGTTCCGAATCTGACTCTCACTGCAGGGGTTCCGAATCTGACCCTCAATGTAGGGGTCCCGAAAAGGACCCTCACTGCATGGGTTCCGAATTTGACCCTCATTGTAGGGGTTCCGAATCTGACTCTCAATGTAGGGGTCCCCGAATCTGACCCTCACTGTAGGGGTCCCCGAATCTGACTCTCACTGCAGGGGTTCCAAATCTGACCCTCACTGTAGGGGTTCCGAATCTGACTCTCAATGTAGGGGTCCCCGAATCTGACCCTTACTGTAGGGGTCCCCGAATCTGACCCTCACTGTAGAGGTCCCCGAATCTGACACTCACTGTAGTCAGAATGGCGGAGCTGCCAATGCTAAAGGGATCAAGCCTTCAGTTTGGCGGTTTAAATATCGTGGGTTCGTTTCAAAGATGTGCCATTGTGTTTGCGAGGACT